GACATATTAAACACCACAGGAGGATTGCAAAGATATCGAAAATTACAAGTACTCCGATGTAATAAAATTCAGATAACCAGCTTACCAACTTTACCCGACTCCTTAACATTACTTGATTGCAGTAAGACTAAAATAACCAGCTTACCTTCTTTACCAAACTCCTTAACAATACTCCGATGTAGTTATACTCAAATAACCAGCTTACCAACTTTACCCAACTCCTTAACAAACCTCTATTGCCATAATACTCAAATAACCAGCTTACCAGCCTTACCCAACTCTTTAAAAACCCTCTGGTGTCGGAATACACAAATAAATAGTTTGCCAAATTTACCCAATTCCTTAACGGACATCGATCCAAAATCTTTGAAAACTTAATAGTTGTGAGAATCAATAAAAATTTTTTCTTATAAATGTTTCAAACATTAAAGCATTTAATATTAGATTATTATGTCATTTCTACGTATTAAAAAAAAATTAGTTCATATAAAAATCAGTATTAAAATTTCATTTCTTAAATTTTATTTTCGTATGTAAAATTTTGTATATAATAACTGACATTCCGATATATTTTCACAATGATTTATTTTTATTTTTTCTTAAAATATATATATATATATATATATATATAATAGTAACTTTACATTTTCAAATAAAATAAATATCTTTATAGTTTTCATTATCCACTAATTTATTTGCAGCTTTCGTGTATTATCGACTGAAATCAATAAAATCAAAAATGAAATAAACGATTTTCTACATTGATTTATATTAACAACCTCTCAAATGTTTAAGAAATCATCTCTTCTCTTGGGAATACAGTAAATAACCTACCAAACGGTATGTATATAACTCCTGTAAGCAATATCACCATGACTTCACTTTAATCTCTCTTGGTGCATTTGTTTGTGATAAGCCTTAGACGTCATGTCAAAATGAAAGTCTAATAACAGTTCTATGCTACGTTAAAATTTAAAATAGGTTTCATTTTGCATTTTCTATTAAAAGAAATATTTGTCATAAAAATTTAATTGTACACTAATTAAATAGAAAATTAGAGAATAGCAAATACTCTATGTAGATGTCATCTTAATAAATTTTATTAAAATTTATAAAATAATAACTCTAATGTTAAAATAGACTGGGCACAATTCCAAATCTTCACGTCTTTACGACCACATCTTACAGGGACCTTTAACTACTAATCCTACATGATTCAAAATAAGAAATTAATTAACAAATTCAAGATAAATCATCAATTTCAAATGTAGAGTAGGTATCAATGACTTTACGTGACTCCATGAAATAAGTAATAGATCGATCCCTATGATATCAGATTGAGCAGGCGGTAAATATATTTCTTGGATCTCACGATAAAAATGATTTCATAATAAATATATCATGTGCTACTGAAATTAAACTCATTGTTTATCAATATTTTTTAAAAAAAATTCTCATTTCTCTAAAATTTACCAATTTAATACTACACGTTATCTTCTAAATAATCCATATTTAAAACCCATATTGAAATAGAACATTTTATCAAAAAATAATTTAGTGCTGAAAATACAAATAAACAACGAAAATGGCTTGAACCCTTTTGAACTGCTGCATCTATATTTAAGGCAATGCGAATTTTCATTTTTTGTCATTAAATTCTTTCGCAAATTGATTTTTATAAAAACCTTTATATTTGGCTTACAAAAGCTTGTGAAAATTATTATCACCCGATATAACTTAAACTTTTATGTTTTTTGTAGTTTTTAAAAGGTTTCATATTGTTATCTCAAATTTTTTCATTGCTATTTAGTTTTCTTTATGAAATAAAGTTTTATGCTTGTAGGCATTAATCTTTATTGCTTCATCTCATATTTGTTTTAAATGGCAAATATTTTTTGAAAGTTTTAGTTAAGACAGCAATGGAAATATTTCTCATAAAGTATGCAAACACTTTAAATTATACTTCTGTAGAATCTAAGGAATAATTTGTTATCTCGCATTAAAAATCTGGTAATAAAAACAAATAGAATTTTTGGGGGACAAAAGATTCATACTTTAAAAAATTCTCCACAAGTAGAATGTTCAGAGGGTACAAGTGAAGATGTTATACCAGAAGAAGATTAAGCTTCTGATTAAGAATATTTCTATTACGTCTTTTTGAAACATGTACTTTTAACGCCACCCTCAGTATTGAACGAACTTATAAGTTTCTTAAGCATTTATTTATTTTTACATAAATCAATCCAGGAGTAAGCATTTATTTATTTTTACATAAATCAATCCAGGAGAAATAATCATGAAAGTCTACCTTTTTGATAAATAGTGAATTTTAGAAAATTCTACCGAATATGAATGGAGAAACGATACAATCTCTAAAGGTATGTATTTACTTTTGTATAATTATAATTTCTACACTACTTTTTAGTTGGATCTAACTGATTCTCTTCTTTTCGATCAAAGAATCTCCTACACGAAATGTATAATAAATTGATAGGACTTAGTTTCCATTTTTTATTGCCATCAAAATACTCCAAAAGCGACTTCATTAGATAAACTTATTCCCAAATAAAGGAAAAGGTGAAAGAGTGGTGAAACAAACTCTTACCTTATATTTACATTTACTTAGCAGGCCGGCTTCTTTTTTCATGTTTTTCATGTATTACTTTACAAAAATAATATAATAAAGCTCTTTATTGAATTTTGAATCGAATTTATAGCTTTAACTAACTACGTTATTATATGTTTGTAAATCAAAAAAAATATTGAGAAAATTCACTTTAACATCTTCATTACAGCAAATATATACTATAAAATTTATTTGATGTAAGTCATTGCATCGTAATATATGTCATTCCAGTACCAAGAATTATACATTGCTTAATTCGTATTCTCAATGAGAAATATTTGGCCATTTAGCGTCATTATGTATCTGAGCATATTACTCAATTATTAATAAATGGTTATACGTTATTATAGCTATACTGTATATCTGCTTTATAAAATTGAAAATCAATGTTCACGTTGTATTTTACCAAAAACATAGAAGATCAGTATAACAGGATCCCGAAAAATACTAAAGTAGGTAAGGTTCAGCTAAAAAAATTTACTATTAACTGACGCATTTTTTCAGGATTGGAATTATGATAATTCCAGCCAGTTACTATAAAAGGAATGAACATCTTGCCAAAATTATCAAAAATTATCTAAAAAAGGAAAATTTACATGATTATTTTGGTTGTTTCGACTAGGGCTTTTTATCGAATCGAGTAAGATCGATGATTAATTGTTTCAATCAATTTTCGATTGCAGAATATTGCCATCGATCAAAATTGGACTAACTTTAATTGATTTTTAATCGATTAAATTTCTATGAAATGATAAATGAATATGAATAATGACAAATCCATAAATGGTCAAATTAACAGGTAATTATGCATAGTGTTCGAATCGACTCGGTTCATTTGACCCGACTCGAGAAAAATTCGAGTCGGGACTATCATTTTATGTCACGAGTCCCAAGTTCTTAAAACCCGTCCTCGATTTTGCTTGACCCGGGGTACCCGAATGATCAGGTGATGCTATTAAATGATATGTGATATGAGTGAAACTATCTACCTTACCTTATAATACAGCTTCTCTTGGAAATCGAAAATAATTGCGAAGCGAACTTTTTGCCAAAGCGCTTTTGAAGAGAAACTTCTTCCACCTGAATATAAAGTTCAAAAAACACACCGAGAGTTAGTTAACTACTCGTATCTTTTTTAAATAGAGTATAATTTGGTATATTATAGGTTGAGTATTATCAAAAATACTAGTGGACATAAAACGCGTGACTCCGCAATATTGGTGATTCAAATACAACAAAATTATGTCGTTATTTAGAGCGCAATAATCCAAATAGAATAATATTATTTTAGTAAACAACGAGTGTCCCTCCCTGTTGAATGATTTTAGACTTAAAACCGATTAAATTGCGCATTTTTGTGTTCGAATTCCTGGAGTCAATAAATATATTTAAAAAATCTAAATTTGAATTAATGCACAACCAAAGAACTTTAAAAATAATAAACTTTCAAATTTAATACATATTTTTCATTATATACACATAAATAAATTTTTTTTTTTACTTTCGGTATTAATATTACCTTAAAATACGAGTTAAACAATAATCGGGTCGGGTCGAACAATAATCAGGTCGAGTCGAATTTGGGCCCTTTAAATATTAACGGGTTCGAGTTCGAGTTTACTTCAATCCCGATCCTTACGGAGCACTACACTGGCATGTAGTATTTGATTATCACAAGTTAATTTCACGGGTCGATTATTAAAATAAATAGAAATAATATTGTAATAATCAACTGTAAATATGAATTATTTTTTGAAAATAAAAAAGCTAAATAAATACTATTCTTTGCTCTCTAATACCAACGTCAAACTTTACCAAGGTTTAGTAGCGTCTCTAGCAGAATACCAAAGAAATTATATTATTCCAAAGTACCTAGCAAACTGTACCTGATTATAAAGTCTATGCGCAAATAGTTACAAAGTCCATAGATTAAAGAATTCGAGGATACAGAAATAGAAATTAATTACGATCTCTGTTTATTGGTTCACACAAAGTCACAGTCATTTATTTCAATTACAATCTGCACTTTATCATTTTCAATTTGCATATCTTCAAATGTTCATTTATCAAATGCTATCACATATCGTTCCAATTCATTAATTTCAATAAGGTTTGTTAATTCTTAATTTACAGTTAAAGGTTTGAAATTCTTAAACAACTTCAATTTATTTTTTTGTATCATCGATTTCAATATTTCAGTCGCTGCTTGGTAATTCTGCTCCATCAGAATAAGATTTTTAATCCCAGGAATCGCTTTTATTATGTCAAACGGTCGGTTCTTATTTAGAGTATTTGTAGGAAACAATTTAAGAGAGCATTATAAATATAGTTACAAGTTTATATCTTTAAGTTAACTTACTCTTATGCATATGAACAGCCTTCACCTTAGCAATTATGTGCTGGAACGGTGTTTTCTTATCTAGTCATATCTCATCATTTGAATACTCAATCATTTATTTTATTTAAAAGTAATCATAATAGTAAAAGGTAGAAATTTTTGAATTTTGAAAAAGTTGGAGAAAAAGAACTAAAAAGTTTGCATATCAAATAGAAACTTTTTTGATCTTAATGTTTTATAAACATCAACGACCTTTTAATGATTAGTACTGAGATCGAATAAGATCTCGATCGGTCCGGTAATTTCTTTTTATACAAATATTTATGAAATTTTTATTTATAGTTACACCGATCATTCATATGACCTTTGGCTTAGAAATTAATAAAACGTTGCATGATCTACCGAGTGCATTTTTTTTTTCCTCAAAAAATTTTCAATTTTAAAAAAAAATTATCATGCAAGCTGCCAATAATTCAAATGAGTGGATTGAAGAATATATGTCAAGCAAAGATATCAAATTCTACGAGTACATACATTTTAGTAATTTTCAAGAGATTGGTACAGGCGGCTTTGGAAAAGTCTATCGTGCTAATTGGAAAAGTTCAAAGCAATACCTCGCGTTAAAATCATTCCATAACTTTAACAATGCCACTGTTAAAGAACTTGTTCGTGAGGTAATTACAAAATGCAATATTGTATTTCAGTCTATTTAGTGTAAAATTACTATATATCAAACTAAAATTTATATTCGTAATAATTTAGCTTGAACTTCAACGGGAAGTTGATTTTCATTGTAATATCATCCGTTTTTTTGGGATTACAGCATCAAATCAAGGTATTAATCCTAAATAATTAGGTTATTATATATATAGACTCTTACATTTATTTTTAACACATTATATTATTATAAAACTTAAAAAAAATTAGAAAACCAAAATGATCAATTGAAAAAATATTGGTTAGTAATGGAATATGCTGATGGAGGCACACTTGGAAGTTATTTGAAGGATAATCTTTCATGGGAAGATAAATATAGCTTGGCATTCCAGTTAGCTTGTGCCGTATCGTGTTTACACGACGAAGGAATTGTACACCGAGATTTGGTAAACTTACATAATATATTTGTCATTTTGCTTATTTTTAATCTTGCTGTTAGATATTTTTTATATACTACTACTATAATAGCATTCCGGAAATATATTAATTCATCAAGGAGTTATTAAAATAGCAGATTTTGGTTTATCGAAAAGAATTGAAGCAGCTTCTAATCAGTCAAAAGTATTTGGTGTAATTCCATATATTGACCCAATAAGATTTGGTAGACGGAGAGAAAGGTACAATAAATCACAACAATCTACGCTGAATGAAAAAGGTGACGTTTATAGTATTGGCGTGCTGTTATGGGAGATATCGAGTGGTCGACCTCCTTTTTATGTTGAAGGGGAACCATACGATCTTGATTTAGCTATTGAGATTTCCCAAGGTCTCAGAGAGATTATCATTCCGGGTACGCCTAAAGATTATGTAAAAATTTATACAGGTAAATAATTATTATAATTTAAATTTTAAATATCATGTTTTCAATAATTAAATAGTTTGTATGATATGAATTTAGAGTGCTGGGATGGTGAACCAGACAATCGTCCGTCTATGAACAAAGTAGTAGATGAATTGAATGCAATCATTACAAAAACAAGTATAATAGAAAATGATCAAATAAATAATGAAGAATCAAACCTTCAATTGTCAGAGCAAGTTAATAGTTCCAGTATTAGTGATTCATTACATGGGGAATTATCACAAATAATGCAAAATTTCAATCAGGTTAATGTGAAAGAATTAGAATCGAATAATGAAACTTCTGACATTATATACGAAGATAACCTTCAATTGTCAGAACAATCTCCTTATTCTAGTTTTAATAATTCATTACATGGGAATTTATCTCAAACGATTCGAAATTTTAATCAAATGGATGTAGAAGAATTAAATTATAATTGTGAAACATCATTCATCATTTACAATGATACTATTGATAGCTTAACCATTACGGACTTTAATAAGGATGACATATTAAACGCTTTAGGAGGATTGCAAAAATATCGAAAATTACAAATACTCTATTGTAATAATATTCAGATAACCAGCTTAACGATATTACCCAACTCCTTAACGGAACTCTATTGCTATAAAACTCTATTAACCAGCTTACCAACATTACCAAACTCTTTAAAGGAACTTAATTGCTCCAACACTTTGATAACCAGCCTACCAACTTTACCAAACACCTTGACGAAACTCAATTGCGAAAATACTAAACTAATAAGTTTACCAACTTTACCTAGCTCTTTAACAATATTAATATGCTATATTACTAAAATAACAAGCCTACCAACTTTACCCGACTCCTTAACGAATCTCATTTGTAGTAATACTCAGATAACAAATCTACCAACTTTGCCCAATTCCTTAACGGTACTTGGTTGTAGTAATACAAAAATTACTAGCTTACCAACTTTACCAAATTCCTTAAGAGTATTAAGTTGTAATATCACTCGAATAAGCAGATTTCCAACTTTACCAAACACCTTAATGGAACTCAATTGTAGTAAAACTCAAATAACCAGCTTACCAACTATACCAAACTCTTTAACGGAGCTTGATTGCTCTGATACTCAAATATCAAGCTTACCAACTTTACCTAACTCCTTAACGGAACTCAATTGTAGTAAAACTCAAATAAATAGCTTACAAACTTTACCAAACTCCTTAACGAAACTCTATTGCTATGAAACTCAAATAAATAGCTTACCAATTTTACCCAATTCTTTTGAAACACTCTGGTGTTTTGATACACAAATAAGAAATTTGCCAAATTTACCCAATTCCTTAACAGATGTTAGACCAGAATCTTTAAAATGCTCAAATTACTATTTTACTTAGCTTCAAAATTATTCTGTTATAATCAATGAGAGCAATTTAAAGCTCTAAAGTTAATTTGCTCCTTTTTAAGTAAGCACATATCTTTGACAATATTTTGCCACTATTACATTCATTGACTTACTATTTATTTTAATTATACTATATGTTAAAATACTTTTCTCTTTGTTATTTTATAAATTATTTAGCAACGTTTATATTCTTTATTATTAATTATAATATAATTAAATTATTATTTATTTAATTAAAGAATTTATATATTCATTACAATAATATGTGAAATGTTTTAGGAAGGTTCTAATTTTGTTATGAAATATTCGGAATGTGGTTTTTAGTAATAATCCCATATCTTTTCAGTTTAAATATTTTATATATTTAATATTTAAATTTTTTTTATTTACAATATTATATATGACATTTTACACATTTTATTTTTAAAACAACTATTTATAACTAATTTATCAATAAAGAATAATATTAATACTTTTTACTTATTATTATGTCATTATTATACCTATTCAAAACAAAAAATTACATAAAGCTATTTAAAGAAGATTAGACTATTTCAATTATTAATTCCTTATCATAATCAAAAAAATTTGTTTTGCGTGTATTTAGCCCAAAGCAGATATATTTTTAGATTATAATATTTTACTAAATTATACAGAATCTGTAAATTGAATGAAATTTGATCTTATAATTCTGATTAATATTAATATTTGAATTTTTTATTCTAATTATGGGCCAATGACCTCGCTATTTGTCTATGGATTAAAGCGAGTCAACAGATAATAAAAAATCAGATTATGATTTCTATTATAAATATGTATGTAGTATTTCAAAAATGATGCACATCCAGTTGTAAAAAAAAAAAAAAATAAGATAAATATAATTGATCAAATACATTTTTTTAACTTTAATTTTTATCATCATCGTAATTAGTAATTGGATCGTAGAGTCCACAATATGGTCGATAAACAAGTGGCAATTTAGTGTATCGATGGATCCAAATCACCGCAGACCGTGAAAAAAAATAAGGTCAACACGATTATTTAGTATTCAAAAAAATTTTAAGTCAAACTAAATTGCTTTTGTTGGTGTGTTTAGACAAATGCTCCGCAAAAAAATGTAACTGTATTTTATAAGAATTTCAAAATTAGAAACTACTTTGCATATTCTTTATACCTTCGTAGCATTTTCCATGGACATAGATAAAATCGGAGTCCTTGACTAAAAGCTCTGTCATAAGAAATGAATAGTTCAGAAAGTTTTGAAAACCTAAATACTCCAAATAATGACCCAACTCTCTGATTTGAGTTAGTCATCGTGATCTTTGTTGAAATTTGGGTATTAAAGCGTAGTTGTTTTAATGAGAATCAGACAGGATATTATCGGGATAGAACTTCTAGACATAATTCCAACTATATAAGATTGGCTGATCACAAATATTTGTTTTCGCACTTTCTTTTACGGCTTAACAGCAAAAAATTCAATAAAATAAATAACTAAAACATTTAGTTCTCTGTATAATGTTGTTTCTTTGTTAATGATAATTAACGTTAAATAAGTAAATTAACAATTTTGCCTACAATATTCAAATCAAGAATTTAATTTATTTTTTTATTATTATTTTAATTGATTAATTAACGATAAAATAAAAAGAATACCGACCTTTCATGATGTTCTTAACTATGTATTTCCACGACAAAGAATAAGAATTTTCTTGGTCTTCTAATTGTTAATCAGATATGGTTCAGAAAAAAAATAATTAAAATCTTTTTTAGTTTACCTCCTGATTATTTGTAAAAATAGGGATCTCAACAATTTCTCTAATTGAAGAAGCGTTACAAATGTTGCCATAACTCATAACACTAATTAATGCAATGGTAACGTCTACTAACGTAGTAATTTTTGACAAAATCTTGCGAGACTAGTTGAGCATTCCTTTTTCGTCAAATTTTTCAAGCAGATTATGTAAATTTATTATTACTAATAAACTAAACTGTTATTTTCTGTTAAATAATTTAATGATCTATTTAATATATACAAGAGTTAACTTGATTTTTCAACACAAAATCTATTTACGTCGGTTATCTTCCAACGTTACACAAAGAATTGTAATATTTTTTTCAATGATAATTTATTTATATTACAGTATTCAAAAAGGACTTTTTAAACCTTTTGTACCCTATTGAAGTTTTTGAAATCCTATTTAAATAAAAATCAATATGAAATCTTTACGAAATCCTAAGTTAACGCAGTAATTTGGCGTTTCTAACACGCACAATCAAAATAATAATAATAACCTGTTAAAATGTGACGTAAAAACTAAATAAATATTAAATAAAAAAGGTATTATGGCTCGTTAAAGAAGTTATCACTTAAAATAATTCTCAAAATGTTATTTTATGACAAATGATAATCGAAATGAATTTTCCTTAATTTCGTAATACGAGAAAGTTGTCATACAAGTAAACAAATAAAATACTATAATGGTAATTTTACAATGGTCAAGGGCGCTAAAGGTAGTTCAACATGTTTACATGCTGTATATGATACACAATCTATGAAACAACGTGGCACGGACGATACTATTTATATAATGAACGAAAATCTCAATGTTTCTCGTCTCGTTCTCAAAAATTTCTTTAAACTTATCAGATGATTTCTTATCGCTTGTCAGAGCTACCTTCAGACTGCCTAAAACTCTCTGAAACCAATAATTCTCATGATACTATCATAGAAATCAATGATCGATCATCCGGTGATATCAAGATTTTCGATGCACAATCGAGCGTGCTTTGCAGAAGATGCGAATACTTCAAGGTCGCTTTATCGGAAAAGTGGGCTAAAAAAGTTGATGATAAGTATATACTAAAATTAGACGTTTCATCCGAAGCCTTTGAAATCATATTAAGGTAAAGATCGTTTGTAAATTATTTCATTCTCTCTCTCACTTTTTTTTTAAAACTTTTTTCACTAATAAAAACTTTGGTGGTTTTGGAATTCTCAGAGGAATCTGTAGCGGAACGATCATTTTCAATAACCCAAGTACGAATATTTTGATGGAATTAATGCTTGCATCTGATATACTTCTCCTCCATGAATTTTTCAATTATTTAAGATCCAAATTAGATGAAAAAAGGAATAAAAACAAGGAATGGTGTGATGAAGATATTGTTTCAATATTAAAAATTTCTTATCGAATTCCATCCGCTCAAAACCTTTATTTATTCTGTCAAGATATCTTTGTAGAAAGACCGTTGATTTTATTTGAATCTCCGGAATTTTTATCGATTGATGAGGAACTATTGTTACATATTTTAAAGCTGGACGTGATTTGCTTGCCAGAGATAATGATCTTTAATAAACTAATAGAATGGGGTATTGCAAATACTCCCGATTCATCTCAGATCGAAGACTTGGGAGTTACTATAAAGAATGGAATGCAGCTGATTCGATTTTATAGCATGAGTTCAGAAGAAAGGGATTCAACTCTCAATTTTGAAAGCATATTGCCAACAAGAGAAGTTCAACTTCTAACTTCAATTCGCATGAATTCACCCGTTGAACCAGTGATTTTTAGTAGCAGATTTATCGGATTAATTATGACGTGGATTGACAGAAAAGATCTCAAGGAAGATCCATACGGCGGATTTTATAATCCATTTGAAATTAGACTCAAATTTCGTATGAACGATAGGACAAGTTTTTATCAAGAACATAATAATTACTACAATAAATCTTCAAACAGAATCTTACCAACAATGAAATGTCACCACGGACCTTCATTAATGATAATGAAACTTAAAACTTCAGGGAAGATAATTGGTGCCTACAATCCTATAGATTGGAAGGGAGATATATCAAAGAAGGCCAACGCTTGTACAACCGAAAGTTTTATCTTTAGTTGTGATGATAGGTATGGAACGAACCTTCGGTTGAGCAGAGTTCGTGATTTTGAACGAGCAATTTCTCTAAAGAAAGTGAAACCAAGTGGCGTATTATTAAATTTTGGCGAAGATTTAACATTTGAATATATGTATAAACGTGTCAGTTGTTATGTTAAAAACGAAATATACGATTCACCAATATTGGATGAGGGTAGGTATGAATTTGAAAGTTGGGAAATTTATAGAATCAGAAGAACAGACGGTGATCCACCAATGGTAATCAATGAAGAAATTAGACAACAAGCTCAACCTAGCATAAAATTTCCCATTGAAACAAAGATTATTGATAGCGATTTTTTTGGATTAATTGCGACATGGATCGACGAAAAAGATCCAGTGGAAGCTCGGTACACTGAGTCCAACATGCCATTCCAATTTACGCCTTTATTTCGTATGAACGATGAGACAACTTTTTATAACGAACACCAGAACTACTACAATAAAGATTCAGATGGAACCCTACCAACAATGAAATGTCACCACGGACCTTCACTGATGATAATGAAACTTAAGAACTCCGGAAAAATAATTGGGGCTTATAATCCACTAAATTGGAAAAAGGATTTTGAACTTGGTTATTATGAATCTACAAAAGAAAGTTTTATCTTTTCAAGCGATGATGTACATGGCATGGAGCAAATCATTTATTGAGTCGTGTTACAAAATATCATGAAGCAATTTGCGCGGAAAAGTTAACTACTAATACTTATTCAAAATTCGATGTCCCCAACGGTGGTGCTAAGGTTTGGCAATGGTTTAAGAATTAGTTATGGCAAGTACGATTCTATATTGTGTAGTGTTAGTCAAAATGATGTTTATGGGCAACCAGTCATAACAACCATAGGCGATTACAAGATTCAAGAATGGGAAATTTTTAGAGTCTCTAGGTTCGATAATCCGATTCCATATCGCATGTATTCACCTGTTACTCAATCATTAATTGACGACGAATTTGTAGCGTTGATTGCGTCATGGATTGATGGTAAAGATATGGAAGACCCATATACTGAATTTGACATGCCATTTGAATTTAAACTTTTATTTAGCATGAAAGAACGTTCAATTTCTGCTCACGATAAATATTATAATCAGTCAGCGTACAAACTATTACCCACGATGAAATGTCACCATGGTCCTTCACTAATGATGATGCGGATTGAAGGTTCTGGACAAATAATTGGTGCCTATAATCCTCTCAATTGGAAACGAGATGTACGAAATTGTAAGGAAAAATATGTTCACACGTCAGAAAGTTTTATTTTCTCAAGTAAAGATGAATATGGAACGGACCCTCGATTCAGTCGAGTTAAAGATTCTGATAAAGCAATTTCTCAAGTAAAAGTATATCCCAGCGGTATTCTGTTGAAATTTGGTGAGGATTTGGGTTTTATTTATGAACATGGAAATTTACATACCGATGAACCAGATTATGGATTTGAAGACGATGTTATATTTCCTTATGTCTTATGTTACGTCAAAGAAAATGGATTTTATGAACAACCAACTATTTTACCTGAAGGCAGGTATAGGATTGATCAATGGGAAGTATTTAGGGTAATTAGAACAGAAAACCCATTTACCAATTATTAGCAGTCTTATCTATATTACTAATTCAACGTAAAACAATATATCTAAAAAATTACCTTTTCTAAAATCCCCTTATTGAATTAGTTTTGTAACTAGTAATCAAGAAAATAAAAATAAAATAAAATAAAATAAAATGTTTATTTATTATTTAATTTATATAATATCTCAAAAGTTTAAAAGAAAAAAATAAATTGTTGGAAAAAGATAAAAACTGAATTCAAAACTATTTCTATATGAGTTATAGGAAAAAAAAATTTAAAAGTAGTGGATTAAATCTAAAATAGACAAAAATTAGAAAAAAATATCTTTGATATTTGTGAGTATATCTTTCGGGTTCGCGAAGATTTTTTTTTTATTTTTTTTTATTAAAATTATTTTAATATGGGGTCTTGAGCTGTGCTGTTGAAAGGTGAATTTTTTCCATTTCGCTTTATTTTTTTATAAAAAAAAAAAAAAAATAAAAAAAAAAATTATGAAATGAAAACACAGTGTGAGCGTCAGAGTCATTTTATTATTTTCTGCTTGAATTTAAAGATATGATTGATGTAGTCGAAAGTATCTGTCGATATAGGAGGTTTATTAGGTTTCAATATGTTCAATATGCACAAAGTTAAGTCATTCTTCATCATGAAATGTTAATATTTGATAGTATAAGTTGATCATGCTTAAGAATAAAAAATTATTTTTATTTTTATAAAAAATATTTCTCGTTTTCTCCTTTACACGTCTAAAAATAGTTACGGAATTTTTTTGTTTCACGATGTGATTTGTCAATTCAAACTTCATATGCGTGTTATAAATCTGTACTAGTCCAAGTTAAGCATGTAAATACTAGAAAACCGATATTTTATCTATATATAGAAAGTGTTTATAAAAATTTTCTCATAAAGAATTTCTTTAAAATATGTCGTCACAATTTTTTCCCAAATTAAGTCAAAATTTTATTGAAATATTAAATGATGATGTATAACAATCGAAGTTAGAGAAGACACAAACGTGAAAATCTACCGTGCGCATATGATTATATTATGTTACCGTTCTCCTTTTTTTCAACGAACTTTGACTTCCAATAAAAAAAATAAAGATTGCGACTTAACTCATCTCAAGTTACCAAATATTTTACCCGAAAACTTTCAAATTATTTTGAAGTAGGTCTAAAACCATGTTATTTTTATTTTTATATTTGAAATCGATTTAACCTTGGATATTTTATAATTTAGATATATTTATGGTGGAATCATTTCATTAGATGAATATGAAACCTCGGATATTTTTGAAGTTTTAGTAGCGGCTAATAATATTCTCCTTCAAGAGCTAGTTTAATTTTTACAAATTATTTAATTAATAACAAATCAGAAAGGATCAAACAAAATTTTGGGCAAACATATTCAAAAAGTTTTCAATCTATTTCTTTAACTGAACTTCAACAATTTTGCACAGAATTTGTAGTTAAATCACCTGATAAGGTATTCAAATCTCCTGACTTTACTTTTCTTTCTGAAAAGATTTTGATTACAATTATCAAGAGAGATGATTTACAAATGAAGGAGGTTGAAATATGGAACACATATTAAAATGAGGTCTTGAAAAAAATCACAGATCCCACAACTTGGTCAGATAATGATTTCGAAATTATGAAAAATACTTTACAACATCATTTACCCTTTATTAGATTTTTTAGTTTGTCATCTGAAGATTTCATTAAAAAAGTTCATCCATATAAAAAACTTTTAAAACATCAACTTTATGAAGACTTATTAAGTTCCTATTTGGATCCTAATAGCAAACAAAATGATAGTATTTTGCTTCCTAGATCTAGAAATATTGATGGAATACTTGATACAAAGATCGTAAATTTAAATATTGTTTCCTTCATTTCAAGATGGATTGATAGAGTAGATGTTCAAAGCAGATTCGCTCATATAAGAGAATTAGATTTGCCATACGAATTTAAATTGTTGTTAAGGGAAAGCCGAGATGGATTCACTCCTATGAAGTTTCATCAATTATGTTATGTGAATGTAAGCGTTGTACAGTTACATTCATTAAAGTAAAAGGGACAGAAGAAATTCTTGGAGGATATAATCTTTCATTATGGAAATTTTATGGTAGTGGATATAGTAAAGCCAGTGATAGTTTTATATTTTCTTTTGTGAGCAAGGAGAATTACAAAGATCCAATACTAAGCCATGTAAAGAATGTGAATCATGCATTATATTATAGCTCTTGTCATGGTCCCACGTTCAATAGTGATCTATGTTTATTATATAATGGAGTTGGTAATAAAGAAAATTATAATTCGAATTCTTGTTTTTTAAGAGCATATGAAAAGACGATAAGAGATACAAACGAGAGGTTTTCAATAGATTATGAAATATTTCAAATTTTGAAGAATGATATTTAATAATTCAAATGTAATTTTAAACACAAACTTAAAATACGTGTTTGTAATTTTTAATTAATTTTTTTTTAAACATCTTTAACTTTTTATTTCTAACAAAAAATATGATAAATGAAGCTTTAAAATTGTTTTTTATACTTAAAAAAAACACCGCTTTTGCCGATTTTGATTTTCAAAACTGGAAAATCAATCGTTTTCAGTTTGTTTCCGATTAAAAATCGATTTTTGCCGATTCGATTTTTTATTTTGATTTTGAAACGATTCTAATCCCTATTCTGTTTGGAGAATCAAGTTTTTGTTATATGCCATATGTTGATTATAAAAATCGAAGGAATTATAGTATGAACTCATAAGATTGTTCGTGGAGACGGAATGAACAGTCAAGGTTTAATGGAAGTATTTATAAAAGAACATGACTGTTTAATATCCAAAATATATTATGGCATAACATAGTTCTATAAGCGTAAAGGCTATTGCAATAAAAAGTTTATGGATGTAGGATTGGTTTATTCATTTGATTCTCAGAGTAATTCACGGACTAATTCTAATTTACCTGGTGACAATAATATTTTTTAGAAATTTAATAGTGTTATTCTAAATGACATTAACATTCTTAGATACAATAAAATTGTAGGAAGTTAACTAATTCGCCTTCTCCATGATGTTTTTATGATGCAACTTTCTTCTTAATTCATTACATTATTTATATAGACATGAAAATAGATTTTTATAACAGTTCCATGTTTCAATCTGTTATCAATAGCCTAAATATTTTATTTGTTATGCTGGTTTAGCTTTATCGTTGATTGAAAGAGTAATTTAATGAAGCATAAATTGTAAATAATTGAAAGTATTGCTTGACATTAGCAATAATGATGAAAATTATAGTCAGAAAAGTTTCGATCCAATAGTTCCAGTAATTCACCCTTTTCCAATAACTGAATTAAATTTGTGACCAAGACAATTATAGTTCCGTTTTCCAATAAACACTCCTGTTCTTTAAATGGGAAAAAGTTTTATATTAGACGTTAAGTTGTTAAGTTGTATTAAAATAGAAGCAATATTTCATAGTAGTATTAAATGAATTTTATTTGTCGAGGCTTAGACGCAATCGACTCAATTTAACCCAAGTTAGAATTATGTTATAGATTGTATTTTTAGCGTTAAATCCAAGTTTTTAATTACGTAAAAGCATCGCGTCGCAATGAAAATTCATTTTCTGTTAAAGTATTTTGCAAAAGATTAAAAAAATTTAAAAGTATTTATATCAATTTATTAAAAGAGAATTTATTATGAACGTTAATTAAGTTAATTAATTGATAAAAAGATTAATATTAATTGATGGAAGTGAATGTGACCTGCAAAATAAACGTAATAATTGTATTGTGAGGATAATTAAAGTATCAGAAATTAATAGGTTTTAGTTAGAAAAACAATTCTATTTAATCCAGTGGAAAATGTTCTTCAAGAAATTCATATTATTTATTTTCATAATAAATTACTTTTCAACATAATTTACGTAACATAAAGTTCACTTACTCTCGAACAATTAAAGCATCGGAGTTTACCCAATATTTTGAGGTCATATAGCTACTATATTCAGAAGTTCAAAATTCTGCTACAGAATATTCCTGCCGTTGCATATGGTTTGCTATCAAAATCACGTTATTCGCAACTAGATTTTATTAGCAAACGATCCAGATTTTTGAGATAGTAATAAAAATTCTTTGAAAAAGTTAATGCTTTGGAACAAACTTTTACATATATCATAAATAACAAATTATTTTGTATGATGAAGGATTTGAATTAAAATATCGTTATTATTAATCACAATAAAATTTATTTAATATGCAAAAACATAATTTATTAGGTCCAATGATATATTATAACTCATTGTTTATGGAAGTTAATGTAATCCTTAAATACATACGAAAAACCGTTTCTTTTTAGAGTAAATTTTATATAAATTGTCTTTGAAAGATTTTAAAAGTGATAAATTAAATAAATATTTGATTTAATAACTCTATTTAGTACCTAACCTTTATAATAATGCTGATGTATTACCAGGAATCCTCATAACTTCGTTTTCGTTCTGCTGTCTCTTTTTATACTTTTTATAACAAAAAATTCCGATAGTCATGATTACTGCAGTGCATAAAATTCCGCTTAATATACCGATGATTGCATTTAATTGACCTTTACCATCAGAATTTTTTGGAGAATCTGAAAACGTTGTTTTATCTGGAGAAGAAATAGGCGACCCTGGATTTGTAGCAGGTTCGACTTTGATTTCAGATTCAAATCTATTAACCCATGTATAATTATTAATGTCTAATAAGTAAATTTTTGAATTAACATTTTTAAAAGGTGATGAAGTAAGATTTCCTATAATTAAATAAACAAATTTTTAACAAAAATATTAAAAGTCTAAAATAAGATTAAATATTAATAATTATTTACCGAAAGCTAAAATCATATAATTTTCAATCAAATTTGCTGAATGAACTGTGAGCGATGGAACTTCACCAATATTTGATGAAACTGGTGGTGTAGTCCATTCAAATGGAGTTGTTTGAGTATTTAAAACTGCCAAGTTTGGAGATACTTTAGCTGTAAAAGAAACTGCAGTAATTTTTGAGCCGCCATAAATAATTATTCTTCCGTCAGGAGCTAATGAAAATTTATAATAAATCATCATACATTTAAAATTTAAGAAATCAATTTTTAAAAAAAAATTTAAAAAATATTACAGTAATATACCTAATACAGCCGAGTGTGAATGACGTGACTCAATTATAACGTTACTCTTTGCTTGCTAAATTACAAATTTAATTTATTATATTATTTCTTTTTTTTAAAAAAATATAAATAATGATATACTTACAATTATTGACCAAACGTTGAGTTTTGTATCATAAATGCTAATTTGATTAATATCCGCATCATGTAAAGAATCAGTTCTTTCACGCCCTCCAATATATACGATCCTACCATCTAATAATAATGTTGCGGTATAAGTATCTCGAGTTGTAGGTGCATTGACAACATTACCATACGACCACGTCAACTCCCTGGCATTTAACACCATCATATCTTTTATCAAGGTTGCCGCATCTCCAGTTGTTAGTCCTCCAAAAGCCAAGATATTTTCATTGTCAACAACAATAGCTTTAAAATTTCTACGTCTTACTGCTGGCTCTTCCCCTTTAATTATAGGCATAGCCCATTGGTCTGATTTTGGATTAAATACATAAACCTGCTGTGAACCGAGTTCATTTTCATCTTGAAGAGACGTCAATCCTCCAATTAGAAATATATTCGGGTTATTATCATTATTAATTACAGCTGCAGCTGCCCAACAACTTTCAAAACCTATGCCTGAATTTAGCGTAAGGTCGGTCCATGGCGGAAGCTCTGCATTAAATTTTTGAGATATATCAAGATAGAATACTTCATTTGTACAGGTTTTACCATTAAATCCACCAAAAAAATAAATTTTATTTCCAACAAGAACGGCGGAATGAGCATAACGTCCTACAGGAGTGAATGATTCAACCCTGAAGAGTAAACAACTTACTATGTAAACGAAACACAAGATAAGCGATTTATATGTCTTGCAAGTCATATTTAATTAATTAATTAAATTGCAAAAACGAAATTAAAAATCATTAGTTTTTTTGCATTAAATGCATAATGTCGTGAAAATGATGTGCATGTAAATTTGTTTGACAACAAACAAAATGATCCAATCCATATTTTTTTACAACATTAAAAAAAATATGCTGTGTCACCTGGATTGACTGCGTCTAAATTAATTTCTGCGGCAAATGACTATCATTTCTGGCAGATCTGAAAGAATAACTTTCCATTGCATAAGATAAGCCGCGATTGATTGATAATTTTAGGAGGATCTGTGTTAAAGCCCAAAGAAGGAATTTTTGTTAAAAGAGGCGTTTCATCTTGTGTTTACAATAGGATTAGATTAGAATTATTTTCTTCTATTTAGGCCTATTACAGATGCATAATAGTTGAACCATTCCATTTTGTATCTATTAAAACTAGAAATTGCAGATAGTGGGACTTCGTCTCCACGCAACTTATCAACCTACCCCATTCATTGCAGTGCAATTTACAAGAAACTTTTAATTATAAAATGAAAAGAACAAATAATTACTTGAACGATGTATATAATTTGATTGTTTTATATAAAAAGAATAGTTTAATTAGATTAAATTAACGAAGAGTTGTGGTGGAGGTGGAGTGAAAATTATGTGGTAAATTGAGTCTTTGTATAACTTGATCTTAAATTTGAGGAAAGTCCTGAATACATCAGACTTCAGAAAAATATATGATTGAATGATTTTCGGTGATAATGATAATGGTGCACTGTAAATAGATGCTAGGTTTTTCACATTACTTCTTATAGCTTCCATTCTATCAATTAGGAGAAATTGATTTGATTAATCAACCAGGAGAAATGAAGTTTCTCAAGAAATATTCTGATTGCTTGATCAGGAGAAATTGAAGTTTCCCAAGAATTTGTACAAAATATAATTGTTCAATCAGAAGAGACTGGAATTTCCAAGAAAGTATTTACCCATTTGATTTCTCAATCAAATGATTGGCCTTCCAGGGGGAATTTAATATTACTTAACTGATAATAATATATTCATGAATTTAGGTACATGTTTATTAATTAGAAATTATAAAATTTTTTACTTACGCCTTACTTGTTTTTATTAGAGGATTTTGAATTCCTGAATTCCCTCCTCCAAATAATGTATATTTTCACTTCTCAATGATCATGATATATTTTTAGATGAAACGTTATCACATTATCACAATACAATTTATAATTTTCGAAATGTTGAAATACTTCATTTTTTTTATAAAACACGATGGAATAAGAACTCGCTTTTTCATTCATAAGGGCTTCTGAATCACTTAAAAAATTTTACTTTTAAATTCATTATATGGGTGGTATGCTATTAAAATTGAGGTACGAGACATAGTAAATCATATGATCTGTACCTCAATTTTAATAGCATACATACCACCCATATTATTATTTTTTTTTTTAATATATTAATGAATTTAATTTATTTAAGAATTTTTATGACTCGTAATGTATATTACTAATAAATTATTTATGCATTTAAATAAAATCAAATGGAAATTTGGTTCAAATATTATATTAAATACGTAATTCGTTCCAAAATTATATAAAAAAATGAAACAATTATCAAAATGTCTACAGTCATGATTTTTTTTTTAATTTTAATTTTTCTTTTTTTTTGCCATCTCTCGGCATAGTTGGATTTGTCATTTTGGGCGCCCATTAGTAAAAAAAAAAAAAAAAGGATCAGTTGAATACAGTCTAAACATAAGTGACCTACATTATGAGCCTTTCACGGAATTTCCGTGATTTAAGTTTATAAATTCCGTGAAAAAGAGGTCTTCACGGAATAAACATGGAAAACAAAACATGGATCAACTTTCTTTATAGTTATAAAAAAAATATATCGATTAATGTTTACTTTTACGATTTTAATTTAGGCTTATTATGTGTCCATTTTCAGGAAACCATAGTGTTTTAATACACCCTCAATTGTGCAGAAAGACCAAGCATGCATACCTCGATTACTTTCCAGCAAAATTCTTTTGAATTTTGAGTCTCGGAGGAATAATTGTAATAAGTTCCGGTTACCCATTCACTATCATTTAAAGTTTACTCTATTTAATCCTTGGGTCTACTCGATTGTTCACCTGTTATTTTTCAAACGTGAACTGTATTGTATGTGACTAATGGCTATCATTAAGAAAAAATTAATCGTTAAGTAATTCTTGCCTCCAAAAACAATAAGTCAATAAATGTATCTTTTAATTGAAAAAAAAATCGATTCTAATCTAAGCAAAAATAGAACGCAGGTACTTATCTTGAAAGCTTTCTCTCACGTTTAACATTTGAACATCTCCTTTTTTGAAACGTAAGTGAGACTTGGCTGGATCTATTTTTCCGGGAGAATAAATTTCAAACCGGTAATAATGTTTATTGCCTATTATAATTGATTATTATTGAACAAATTATAAATAGTTGCATAACTAAATAATAATTTTGTATATTCTTTCATATTAAATTATGAACCTTTTATTAAGTGTAATTATTATCTGTTCTGAATTTTCTTTAATATTCGATATTCGCTAACCGCAATTTACATTACATAATCTAGTGTTATCTGGATATACTATCTTTCAAGTCAATAAACAATTAATTAAATCTAACTTAGGCCGTCTTAAGAAAGATTTATGCATAGTGTAGGTAGTTATAACAATCAACGTTTAAGAAGATTGGATTGAAAGGGTGAAATAAAATTTTATTAATGTTTTTATAAGTCTTCTTGAAACATTACAATTCAAATATTGAAAACTGTAGCTAACTTTAAGAGAAACTATGTAAGTCGCCAGAACGATATGATATTGACACAAAAATTAAATACAGATTGAGATTTATGACCCGTGCAGATCAACGGATAGAATTTATCGAACTGATTGGCTTTTTCGCTTGATTTGTATCTTGGTTGTACTAGGACCCCGAACAATAATGAAATAGGTGAGAGGGGAATGCGTCGAAACAACCAAAATAATCGTAAATTTTTCCTTTATTAGATAATTTTTGATAATTTTAGCAAGATGTGTATTACCTTTTATAGTAACTGACTGGAATTATCATAATTCCGGTCCTGAAAAAATGCGTACAGTTAATAGTAAATTTTTTTTAGCTGAACCTTACCTACTTTAGTATTTTTCGGGGTCCTGTTGTACTGATCTTAAAGCATATATTACTCGGTAATAACTTACAACCATTTATTAATAATTGAGTAACATGCTCGGTTACATAATGACGTTAAATGGTCAAATATTTCTCATTGAGAATACGAATTAAGCAATGTACAATTCTTGGTAATAAATATGTTAAAACGAATTTTCACAATATTTTTTTTTAATTTACAAACCAATAATAACGTAGTTAGTTAAAGCTATAAATTCGATACAAATTCAATAAGGAGCTTTATTATATTATTTTTGTAAAGTAATACATGAAAAAAGAAGCCGGCCGGCTAAGTAAATGTAAATACAAGGTAAGTGAGTGTATGTTTCACCACTCTTCCATAACTAGCCACCTTTTCCTTTATTTGGGAATAAGTTTTTCTAATGAAGTCGTTTTTGGAGTATTTTGATGGCAATAAAAAATGGAAACTAAGTCCTATCAATTTATTATACATTCCGCGTAGGAAATTCTTTGATCGAAAAGAAGAGAATCGGTTAGATCCTACTAAAAAGTAAGTAGTGTAGAAATTATAATTATACAAAAGTAAATACATAGCTTTAGAGATTGTATCGTTTCTCCATTGATAATCGGTAGAATTTTCTAATATTCACTATTTATCGAAAAGGTAGACTTTCATGATTATTTCTCCTGGATTGATTTATGTAAAAATAAATAAATGCTTAAGAAACTTATAAGTTCGTTCGATATTGAGGATGGCGTTAAAAGTGCATGTTTTAAAAGACTTAATAGAAAGTATTCTTAATCAGAAGCTTAACCTTCTTCTGGTATAACTCCTGATATCATCTTCACTTGTCACCTCCGAAAATTCTACTTGTGGAGAATTTTTTAAAGTATGAATCTTTTGTCCCCAAAAAATTCTATTTGTTTTCATTACCAGATTTTTAATGCGAGATAACAAATTGTTGCTTAGTTTCTACAGAAGTATAATTTAAAGTGTTTGCATACATTATGAGAAATATTTCCATTGCTGTCTTAACTAAGACTTTCAAAAAGAATATTTGCCATCTAAAACAAATATGATGAGATGAAGCAATAAAGATTAATGCCTACAAGCATAAAACTTTATATCATAAAAAAAACTAAATAGCAATGAAAAAAATTTGAGATAACAACATGAAACCTTTTAAAGACTACAAAAAACATAAAGGTTCAAGTTATAAATAAATCAGCTACAGGTTCATTTTTATATTGGGTGATAATAATTTTCACAAGCTTTTTGTAAACCAAATAAAAGGATTTTATAAAATCAATTTGCGACAGAATTTAATGACAAAAAACGAAAATTCGCATTGCCTTAAATATAGATGCAGCAGTTCAAAAGGGTTCGTTGTTTATTTGTATTTTCAGCACTAAATTATTTTTTGACAAAATGTAATTGCTTTTTCTATTTCAATGGATTATTTAGAAGCTAACGGTTAGTATTAAATTGGTAAATTTTAGAGAAATGAGAATATTTTTTTTAAAAAATATTGATAAACAATGAGTTTAATTTCAGTAGCAAATGATATATTTATTATGAAATCATTTTTATCGTGAGATCCAAGAAATATAGTTATTTACCGCCCGCTCAATCTGATATCATAGGGATCACGGCGCTCTGATCTATTACTTATTTCACGGAGTCACGTAAAGTCATTGATGCCTACTCTACATTTGAAATTGATGATTTATCATGAATTTGTTAATTAATTTCTTATTTTGAATCATATAGGATTAGTAGTTAAAGGTCCCTGTAAGATGTGGTCGTGAAGACGTAAAGATTTGGAATTGTGGCCAGTCTATTTTAACATTAGAGTTATTATTTTATAAACTAATTTTTATTTTAATAAAATTTATTAAGATGACATCTACATAAAGTATTTGTTATTCTCTAATTTTCTATCTTTAATCAGTGTACAATTAAATTTTTATGACAAATATTTCTTTTAATAGAAAATGCAAAATGAAACCCTATATTTAAATTTTAATGTAGCATAGATCTGTTATTTCACTTTCATTTCGACATGACGTCTAAAGCTTATCACAAACAAATGCACCAAGAGAGATAGAGAGAAGTCATGGTGATATTGCTTACAGGAGTTATATACATACCGTTTGGTAGGTTATTTACCGTATTCCCAAGAAATGATTTCTTAAACATTTGAGAGGTTGTTATTGTGGTAATATGTATAAATCAATATAGAAAATCGTTTATTTCATTTTTGATTTCATTGATTTCAGTCGATAATACACGAAAGCTGCAAATAAATTAGTGGATAATGAAAACTATAAAGATATTTATTTTATTTGAAAATGTAAAGTTGCTATTATATATATATATATTTTAAGAAAAAATGAAAATAAATCATTGTGAAAAATATATCGGAATGTCAGTTATAATACAAAAAAATTTAAGAAATGAAATTTTAATGCTGAATTTTATATGAACTTTTCTTTTTTAAATATGTAAAAACGACATAATAATCTAATATTAAGTGCTTTAATGTTTGAAACAATTATAAGATAAAATTTATTATTGATTCACAAAACTATTAACTTTCAAAGAGTCTGGTTTGATATCCGTCAAGGAATTGGGCAAATTTGGCAAACTATTTATTTGTGTATTCTGACACCAGAGGGTTTTTAAAGAGTTGGGTAAGGTTGGTAAGCTGGCTATTTGAGTATCACTACAATTAAGTGCCGATAAGGAGTTGGGTAAAGTAGGTAAGCTGGTTATTTTAGTCTCTCTGCAATTAAGTTTCATTAAGTAATCGGGTAAAGTTGGTAAGCTGGTTATTGGAGTATTGAAACGATTGAGTATTGTTAAGGAATTGGGTAAAGTTGGTAAGCTGGTTATTGGAGTATTGTAACAATTGAGTTTTGTTAAGGAGTTGAATAAAGTTGGTAAGCTGGATATTGGAGTATTGTAACAATTGAGTTCTGTTATGGAGTTGGGTAAAGTTGGTAAGCTGGTTATTGGAGTATTGAAACAATTGAGTTTTGTTAAGGAGTTGGGTAAAGTTGGTAAGCTGGTTATCTGAGTATATTGGCAATAGAGTATTGTTAAGGAATTGGGTAAAGTTGGTAAGCTGGTTATTTGAGTATTACCACAATAGAGTTCCATTAAGAAGTTGGGTAAAGTTGGAAAGCTAGTTATTGGAGTATTATAGCAATAGAGTATTGTTAATGAGTTGGGTAAAGTTGGTAAAATATTTGTTTGAGTATTATAGCAATAGAGTTCCTTTAAGGAGTTGGGTAAAGTTGGTAAGATGGTTATCCGAGCATTATTATTACATCGGAGCACTTGTAATTTTTGATATCTTTGCAATCCTCCTGTGGTGTTTAATATGTCCTTGTTAGTATCTGTAATGGTTAAATCAATAGTATCATCATAAATAATTAATTCAAGATTTCTGATTCTCTTTTCTAATTCGATAATAATTTTTTGCTTTTTCTTGGATACTTCTTCTCGTTCTCTAAACTTTTCTTCATAGTTATTAATGATTACTTGGTTAGCTTTGGTTTCTTCTCTAACCTTTTCTTCTAAATTTTTAAATTGTGAACGTAACGCTTCGTTACTTTGTTCTAACTCCTTAATTCTCATTTCTAAGTCATTTAGGGATTTTTCTAAATTTTTTTTTAAAACCATTTTTTTTTTTGAAATCATTTTTCGGATTGGGGGTGCTTTATTTTTTTTTTCTTGCTTGCATAGAAAATTACCAATAGAAATATCTCTTTACTCAGCCCTCGGTTAAATTTTTTCCCAGTTGCTATAAATAAACTAGTCTGCTTTGAATAACTTTCCAAATAAGTTAACACTTTCTGCCCATAATAATTATTACGTAATTCATTTTTCTCGTGATTTTGTAGAAATATAATCTATAAAAAAATAAATTATCAGCGGCGATCCAAAATCGTCAAAAAAAAAGAGGAAATAATAAAAAATAACAAAATAATAATAATAATATAATAGCCTTATTGAAAAGCAACTCGAAAAGACCCTCAGTCACGAATCGAAAAGTAACTTCAAATATAAATATTAGAATAATTAATAATCAAACATGTAAATTGAAAAGAACAAATAATAATTTATTGATTGTTTAAAAAAAAATTTTTTTAAAAAAAACCCGAATTACCTAAGACACGTAAGAAAGAGAATCAAAACATAAAGAAAGGAAAAGAGACATTCCATTCAAAAATAAAAAAAGAAAATATTCAATCGCGGCGATCCGAAACACCGAGTTGAAATTATTTTTGTAATCGAAATTATATTTTTATATTTTTTTCTTTATATTTACTGAAAAATATTATAAATAATAAATATACATTGAAATTTTTTTTCACGAAATTATTTCTCTTGAAAATTTTGTCTTAACACAAACATAAACAAAACAAAACAAAATCAAATAAAAAGTATAAGAACAAATCAAATGTTAAATTTGAAATTAAAGATCTAATCACAAATTACAAATATAGTTATTATTTTATTTCGCTAAAATCGATTTACATACTATTTTCGTTACATCAAGTAAACTAAAACTATAAAACTATATTCAATTAAATTACCTCTTTTACGCAAATCACTTGCTTTGAAGAATAAGTAAGTTTTTATTATTCATTTTTTTTAAAGCGATATCTTTTGACTTTGAAAGCATTTTCTAAAATTTATTCACTTATTCTTTAGACATATTCTGAGAACCTATAGGTGATTTTATTTCATTTATTTTTTTTTTTTAGGCACGCAGCAATTTTTTAAATCTCAAATTTGTCCATTTTGTTTTGATACGTCGTTGATTTTTTTTGAAATGTGACCAAAAAGATCAATTCGTGATCATTGACCGGTCCGATTCAACGAACGACGCCGTTCCAACCTTAAATTTCGACTTGAATCGAGATAAAAAAAAACTTCATCAATATCAAAATTTGAGAATATAAAATCAACGTTAAAGTATCTAAATTTCGTTTTTATATTTATCAATGGTTGCATATTATTAAGATCTTAATACATTATTTTATTGTGACAACGGAGCTCAAATGGCTGATATTGTCGACGCCTGACGCATGCACATTCATCGGTACTAATAGACCACTACATAAAAGAGTTATTAGGCAGGGGCTATATTAGCCTATCGGCTGATATTTATTTAACCGCCTTCGCCAAATAACTATATAGTATTTAGTTATGCTAATGACATTGTGTCCTAAATTTGTTATAATCATAGCTGGTTAGCCAATTTGTCTCCAGGTCAATGAGTCACTTTAATTTAAAAAGTTATTCCATTTTTTAATTCGAGAAAATTTCTAACCGATCGCTCTTAAATAATTTAGTATATTATTTTGTTAATAAAAAAAATTTTGCTTTTTTAGTTAAAATTAGATTCTTTTTGTAAATAAACAAAATTCTATATAATTATCAAAGATCAAACTTTGAGGCTTTTTTTTTTTTTTTTTACGAATTTAGAACAATCTTTTTCTTTGAAACCGTGATTCTATTATCAAAGCATCCAATAAAAAAGAAGTATGAACAATATCTACATAATATAATTCAACCAAGCAATGCAAGATTGTTTGTGGAATATATTATGAAATAATTTAATTACCAATGAGCTTTGCACTTTTTCTTTCGGTATGATAAATTGCTTTGCCGATAATAAAAATGTGTCTTTAAACTTAATTATCTTCAGATACAAATAATAATCAGAATTTTTAATTTCGAAAAAATCGAATCTACGTCTATAATAAAACTGAAGCGTAATTTAAACTATCGGCCATAATGAATGCCTCATTACTTTTAGAATTTTTGCAAAAATATGTATGTAATAAACTACCACATTTATAAAGTGTCGATATATTTTTTTTTTTTGCACCGCCAAAAAAGGATTTGATATAAACCATCTCCTGAAAGATAAATCGACAAAAGCTGTAATTACTAATTTAAATAAATTAACAAAATTTTCTAAAGAATTATATTGAGTTTCGACATTCAAGAATATCAATCAGCTTTTAGTTAAACTATATATCTCGCAATAAATTTTTCCTTTCAAAGTGAGAAATTTCTTGGTAATTGTAATGTCCGGAAAAATAAATCGTGTTAAGTAGTGTTATTATAAATTAATAGATTTTGAATACTATTTTGATTATTAAATTCTAAAACATATAAAAATAATTAGTCATTATTAATAAAAATTTTATTTCACATCACATTATATAAAACCTTCCTATAAAAAAAGTAGTTTCCGTGAAGGGCTCATTTTCTCGGAAATTTATGTAAGCCACGGAAAAAATATTCGGGCGAAAATTTTTTATAGGCCTAGGTAACGGAACCGTTGGAGCGTCCGAAGCATCATTGTATTTAGAGTTAATATACATAAGAAAATTCTAGAGTATTTGACCATTCAGAGCAAATGGAGTATTTTTATTATAATGTCATGATTTCGCGTGCTTGATTATGTTGTAACATGTAAAACGTTCTAATTATAAATAATTAAATGAAGAAATTATCATGTACGGACAGACAGAACAACATTGCATTCGAATTGCCTATAAGTAAATTGTCGTCCGCAATGCTTAGACAAATAAACGACTTCATCCCTAATTATAACATTATTCAAGGTCAATATTCAGAATTCACTACATCACCATCATGTAAAATCCGGATGTAAAATTGTCCAAGCCCATAGAGATTATTTAAATTATCGTTCAGACTTATTAAAAATTTATAAATTGGTTCTGACAAAATATTGTTAAATTAAAGTAAAAAGTTTTTAAAGATATCTTTTCAAAAATGTTCTCACTAAAACTTCAAAAACATTTAGATAATGATAATATCATTAATTGAAACTCATCACACTTTTTACCTACATTTCGGAAGAATTAATTGACTAGAATTAAATTTTTAAACGGACAGTTATGGTCATCTATAATTCACCAGTGACATCTTGCGGCCTGAAATCTTTGTCGTGTCAGAAGAGAACGTTATTTAATTTCCTCTCCTGTAATATCACAAAGCTAATAAGGATTTGTAACTACAGAATCTTCCCTTGAGAAATGCACGACACAAACTTCTAGTGGGAGAAGTTGTTCGTCATATTCTAATAATTGCTTTAATATTTCTTTTAGCATGTGAATAAAAATCGAGACCAAGCACGAATGAAAAATCTATGAGAAAGCATTATAAAGAATCAGAGCAGTATTTTCAACTTCTGATAATGGACACTTGACAATACTGGACAAAGATGCTGTTCTTTGTCTATTGGTTATGCAATAGAATAGAAAACGTGTCTATTGTTATTAATAATATTTATTAATTTATAATTTATAATAGTGGCAATATATCCGATAATTCTGCAGTTATTCGTCGCAATGTCGTAAGCGATGCTTCTAATCATGATTCCAAAATTACATATATCCTGATGATTAAATATATTTTATATCATGATTTTAATATAATAGAATAGAAAAATAAGCCTTAAAAATTTAATTAATTATAAAGTCCTATTATTTCGATAAAACATTTAACACTTTAATACAGAAACATTCTTGTGAATTATTTCAAACTATGGAGTTAATGGATGCGGCGCAATTCCTCCTGCACGGTAATACCTTTTTACATTATGAATTTATGGAAGATCAATAGATAACAACACAACAATGAAAACTGTAATGGACACAAAGGAAAAGTGTCTATTGTCTATCAGAGTCTAAGAGTCTATTCAATGCAATTTACATTTGGATATATTGTTGTCATACTTTAAAGGCACAGTAAATTCCTAACACGTTTTACAATTTTATTAAAAAATTGAGTCAATGAAAACAAAAATGAAACAATATACACTACCCTATCAAAAGTATTCGGTTGATCAGTTTAAAAATTTTATTTTATTATAAATATTATAAATTTTTAATATTTAGTTGACCATCCTTGATTTTCAATACATGCTTCTATCCGACGTAGCATGCTTTCAATTAAATTAATATAAGATTAGAATGGAATTTTTTTCCATTCTTCTTGCAATGCTTTTTCAAGTTCATTTAAATTTTTTGGATACCCTGATCGTTTTTGAAGTCTCTGTTCTAGTTCATGTCACAAATGTTCAATAGGATTAAGATCTGGAGATTAAGAAGGCCAATCTGAAAGAATCTTATCCTTTTTTTATATATAATCCAATTTTTAACATCCTTTGCGGTAATTAAAATTTAATTGTTAAACAATGTAATTGCAAAAATGTTTATAATTTAAAATTTAACTTTTTGATTATAATAAAGATGTTTTAAAAAAAAAATAGACAAAAAAATATTTTATTTCGTTTAATTTGATTGGTTGACCCGAATTTTATCAGGTCGGATCATAAGCTTGACCTGACCTGATGTTGACCTGAAAATTTGTCTACCCGACCTGGATTTTTCGGGTCAGGTTGGGTCGGGTAACAGGTTGACCTGACCTGATTCAGAGCTCTAATGGTAAATCTGGACTCATCATTCCAGATGACAGTTTTCTACTGTCTAATTGATCAATTTTGTCATTCCATACACCATAATAATCATTTTTCACGTTAGAATTCATTAAGAAGTAGTTTTGGCGCAGAAACCTGTGAATTCATCCCTATTTAATGAAGGTTTTTACAAATAGTTACAGCTGAAATATTTTTATCTTGTGAATTATTAAATTTCTGTTAAATTTCTTCAAAAGAAAGTTGATTGTTTTTTTTAACAATTTTTGAAAGGTTATGATGATCATCATTATTCATGAAACATGGTCTTCCTGTTCTTTTAGCTGTTAATCCATTGTTGAGATTTCTGTATCAAGAAATTGTATCTGTAATAGTACTTTTTGGAATTTTTAAAACATGACTAATGGCTTCATGAGTTCTTCCTCCTATCCAAAGTCCAATGACTTTTTTACGTTCAAATTCATTTAATTTGCGATTTTTTCCCATTTCAAAATATGCTTTAATGACGCAGTAAGAAAAGTTAAAAATCATCACTACACAAAATTAATCATTATTTTTATTGCCAAAGTTGGTGTATACGTCATAACAATAAAAAAATAAACAAATTTTAATCGTCAGAAATCAAACATTTATTTAAAAAAATAATTTATATTAATTAATATATCCAATCTCAAAAAAATCAAAAAGAGCTTTTCCGGATACTTTTGATAAGGTAATGTATTTATAAAATTAATTTTAAAAAAAAATATTAATTATTTATAAAAGTAAATCAGAAAAGAATTTGTAATAAATAAGTAGGCAAATTTGCCTGCAAAATCCTACGATTTAAGGGATAATGATATTTTAAAATTAAAATAAAGTTACTTAATTTTTTATCTTCAGGAGTTTCTAAATCATTTTTATCTTGATCTAATTTAAAATTATTAAATTCAAGTTATTAAAATATGAAAATTGTTATTGTATTACATATTGTTCTAAATAACATAAATAATTCAATATTTCAATATTAAATATTCAATTTTTCATACCTCATAATTTTTAGAAATATGCAAAATTTATAACTAGATTGTATGCATTTTGTAGTATTAGAAAGTGTATTCATTCGATGAAATTTATAGGTGATGTTTAATTAGTATAATATCATTTAAATTATTTGACAACCGTTGGAAATAGATGAAAATTTGAATCCAATACATTGGAATGAAATATTACTTCTGAAGCAAATGTAAAATTTCAAAAGAAATATTTGATTTAAAAGAACAAAAACCATGTAATTAATTTTGAACCAATGGTATTTAAATTTCCATCACTTAAGGAAATTTCTAAATTCTCATCCTCCCACTAATGAATAGAAATATAAATCTTATTATAAAGTAAAGTATTCACAATTGTAAAAGATTCAAACATTCATTCATCATTAATAATTGGCAAAAAATTATAAGATAAAATACGTCATAATTCATAATATTGTAATTACTATTTAAAGGTAAAGAATGATTTTCAAGATCTCAATATTTTTTGAAGAAGTTGAATGAGAAAAAGGAAGAAAAAATTAATAAAAAATATATATAAATTATCTACCGTAGAATCATAATATATGATTTGAAAATATTTAATTTAAATCAAAGAAACTACAAGGTCAACTTTATATGGCAGTAACGACGAATTTAACATTATTAATGATATTTCATAATATCTGAAATTCATTTTACAACAATGTCATACAAAAATTCTTGAAACAGTCATGTATATATGAGTTTCTGATAAATTATAAGAGATTATATATGAAAAAGCGACATTAAATTATACTCATAAACTAAATTTGTTTAATTATTTTGATATAATCTTTATTTAAATAGAATTCAGAAAAAAAATTCTGTATTATTTTTAAAATTTAAACATTTGCTGCGCAATATTGCTATGTTATTTAAATTAAAAAAATCTGCAATCACTGGATCATGTGATATTATATTAAAAGTTCAGGTCACATGATTATATAATAATCTGTCATACTCACCATATTTCATTTTTTACTATTTAATCTGAGAACAGTTTTTTTACAGTGTAGAAACCTATATGTCACTCATTACTTGTCACAGACGACACCCTCAACTTGTGGGGTTAGGTAAGTTAAAGTTGGATTTTTAATAAAGTAAAATCATGTATTATTATAATATCACATGAGTTATATTCTTAAATAAATATTTAATTTATATATACTTATAGTTTTTAAATATTTTACCGAATAACTATTATAATATGAGTAGTAGATATGTATATATCAGCTTAAATGATTCGACTCTGAAACCGATTCTAAATTTAAGATTATGAATTACTGACATTCAATGGTCACAAATTATTGCATGACCAATCAAATTTTTTCTAACATGTTTAAATTTGACGAAATGTATCTCAAATTTTATATAAGCGATTTTAAATTTTTTGAGTTGTTATCAAATTTATTATTGTTGAGTGGTTGATCTTTAAGAAGTTGAGAACTCTAAAAAACTATATCAAACCAAATCATGAATTGAAAAGACTCTTGATGAACTCTAACAAATATTGAAGATATAATAATTCATTCTTGCATAAAATTTCCTTTAGATTTTCAGGAGACTAGTAATTAAAATATTATAATCTGGATTTTCAATAATTAACTTATACTAGTTAAGATTAACTAGTACTCTTTAACATTAATTCTTTTTATCTTTCTAATATTCAAATATTTTCATTCTAATAATCAGATGAGTGTTAACAAATTTTATAAGTATTTAAAAAATAAAATAATTTGTCATACTTAAGTTACGTTACATTTGCATAGTAGTTCCAATAATTATTTGTTTAATTAAGGCTCATAAAATTTATTGTATTATCTGGGAATTAATGCTAAATCTTACGCTATTTGAATGATATTATTATATTTATGCCAATTTGGTCGTAACAAATGAGACTAAAGTACATTTTCGTACATCCGACCTGAATAGCTGTAAATAAAAATATAAAGTTCAAGTTATTACACCAATAAAGGATGAAATTAATCTGAATTATACATCTATTTTCATAAAATTTCAAATTAGTAAAAATTCAATTTTTTTTGATAAAATGTTTTTTCTTAGTAAGTCATTTTTTAAAAAATAAATATTTTAAGAACATATTAACTTTTGAATGTATGGAATATATGGTTTTTATTTATACTCGTATAGTTTAGAAACTATTAGAACAAAGTATGGATTATTTCTTATGAAAATCCATACATATATATGTATATGATTTTTAAAAGTATACATACTTACCTAAAATAAAAAAATTATACTATACTTATATTCAAAAACATACTATACATATTTGTGTATTACATATATTTTAAATGATTTTTAAGTGATTGTCGTTCAAATTATAAAAATCAAATCTTAGAATCTAATACTGGAAAAAGTTTATTCAATTCCACCTTTTTTTATCTAATATTTTATTGCAATTTCAAATTTAATATTAACAAAATTATACAAAAACATCCATATCATAATGCAATTTTCTATAAATTCACAGAATATATTCAGAAACTGATAATTATTTGATGACTCATCTCATACAAAATCTTATTAAAGGAAGTGAGATCTTTTTCCGAAGTCTAGGAAAGGAAAAACAATTAGTGTAAGAGGTGCAATCATTCATTTCTTTTTTTTTTAATTTACTTTGAAAATTTTATTTTTACGCTGCCTTTTTGATTTATTTATTTAAAGATCTATTTCGAGTTGAATAAGCTTTTTGCTTTGTTTTAATTTTTTTTTGGTCATTTCGTTGTTATTTTTTATGGTTAAATCACATATTACAGCGATAAATTTTTATTTTCCATTTTGTTCTTTTAACATGGTTATTCTTTATTTATTCCTTCAATTTTGAAAATACATTGATAGGCTATTTATTTGATTTATCGACTTTTTTTTTTTCCTTGATAATTCTGCTATTATTCGTTTGATTGTTTATTACTAGTCCTGCATATTTCTTTTTTTTTGAAAAATAAAATAAATATTTCTACTTTCTTACTATGTTTAAATTATAAACAAATTAAATTTTATAAAAAATAAAATATAAATTGATATTTTATATATTCGATTTTTTAATTCATTTTGGTAGAATCGTTCCTAATCCCTAGTTTTCAAATAATGCTAATAATGTAATGTCAGCTTACAAAATAGCCTTTCAAATAGTATTCCAACTGGTTTAAAGCACTCATTTCTGCAACGACTGCGCCTTCAAAGTATTAGTCACGTTGAACAAAATCATTTGATATTTACTTTGCTATACGCAGAACAAATGTTATACAAAGCGATCATATTCTATTTGGAATAAAACACGGAGTTTTATTCCCGTTAAACTTTCTTTTTTGAATAATTTTTATTTTAGATAACAAATAATTTACGCTGACAAATTTCTCACAAATGATGAAAAATCAGAGGTAATAGTACAATTAAATAGAAATTATGAATTTGATAAGATTATCCATAATCAAGGAATGAAAAAAGTTTGTGAAAATTGCAAACAAGAATGTTTAGCAATAACATATTGCGAATATTGCATTAGAAATTATTTAAAATTAAAATTTCCGAATGGACATCTGGTAATAATGAAATTTATAAATATTAGTGATTTTGGATTTTGTAGATCTGCTGATAAACCATTAGAAAGTATATATAAGAATCATTCTTATATAGCTCCTGAAGTTATTAATGGAAAAGGATATACTTTTGCATCAGATATATATAGTATTGGTATGCTCATGTGGAAGATTTCATCTGGACAACCACCTTTTGCTTATTTTGACCTGATTATGATCTAGCAATAAATCTAATAAAAGGAATGAGACCACAAATCATACAAGGAACTCCAACAGAATATAAAAATTTAATGGTTCGGTGTTGGGATGCTGATTCATTAAAGAGATACGGTATTGATATCCTCGGTGATAAAATTGGAGTAATACTAAAATCGTATTATTAAAATGAAAATGAAGAACAAAACATTAATTTTGTCAATACACAATCAAATGCAAAACCTAATATAAGTTTAAACTCTAATAGTTCATTAGTTAGAACATTTAGTAAACTTCACACTTTTAAGGATTTACCTGAACCAAGAAATGCTAGTGAAGGTAAACAAAACTATTAATCTTATTTATGATGTTCTTTATTAAATACAAATTTAAATTTTTATTTTTAACATACAGAAGAGCAAGAAGATTATTATTTTAATTTTTTAATATATTGAATTTTAATTTAATCTTAATTTGATATTTCCTTAAATTAAAGCTTTCGATATGCATTACAGTCTTAATATTTCAAGTACTAAGTAATACTTGTTTATATGTAATAAATAAGAAATTTATTAATTAATTTGACTTCTATAAAAATTAAAAAAATATCTAAAGATTATACTGAACAAAACGTGTCTACATTTAATAATACTTTATATAATTAATATTTACAGATATGAATGAATTCATCTGACTTCAAAATGGTAATGAGTCATTTCGTTATTATTAAGCTTTTTAAATAATGTCATTATAATTTTTTTTTACTTTAATTAGAAAATCAAAAAGATTTTAAAATTAAATCAAACAAAGATTAAGCCTATTAAAGGTAACGGTGTTACGTCCGATTTGTAACTTAAATAAAATTCTCAAAATTAATAATGCTAAGACTAAACTCAGGGAATCACAATGAAGATTCTTAGTAAACGTCAAAGATTATTCTCAATTAAACACGAGTAACTTCTGGATATTTCA